CCGTTCTTGCTGTTTGATTCAAGATCGACAAGGTAGAATGGTTGTTTTCCACCGCAAGAAATCTTTGGTTATTGGCCTCATCTGAACATTGGTTTGGGAACTGAAGTTTTAAAACAGTGCCTCATTTGTTTTACCAACTCTATACACTCCATGGTATTCAGGTAAACAGTTCAATTCCGCTTTTGAATGTTCTACTATCAGACAAGATAGAGGCAACATATGTTGGGTTACTACAGCAAGTAAAACAGGTTCAAGCTTATGTCTTTCCAGAAACAGTTGTGGCCGAATTCTAACCTGCCGCAGTCAGTGCTATTCGTCAAGAATTTCCAAGGGCTAGACATCGAGAATGTTTCTTGCGTTTCTCGCAGTGTATATTCCAACGATCTTCGAAGAAGGTTCGAAACTGACGTCGAATTTGCTCTGAGAATGCGTTGGTCTTTTCCAAACAGAATATGTGGTAGAAGCATTTTAGCTTCTTAGCGGTAGCGGTAATAACATATCTGAAGAAGCACAACGCTTGATTGATTACGTTGACTGCTGGATTTTACGTCCTCAACGGCGCATGGGACACCAAATGCCCTGCTTCTCCCTGGAACTGTCACGAAGGAGTAATACATCGTCTTTCGAAGACAGATAATGCAATTGAAGGGTGGCATCGTGGATTCGAAATGCAAATTTCTGTGCAACACCCTAATATCTGGAAGTTTATTGAAGCGATTCAGCTGAGCAGAGTATCAGAACATTGCAAATTGAATAATATGTGAGTGGCCAACAAGCTAGCCCTGCGCGTAAGAAATAGGAGGATTGCGCTGAGACTTTCAGAGTAGTTGCGAATTATGACAGAAGTAATGTTTTAGAGTTTTTGAGAGGGTGTGGTATATGATATAAATTAGTAATGAGGTATTGCGTGTAAATAATGTTTCAGAAGTTTTTTTTCAATTAAATTGTTCCAATGAAATCTGTCTTATTCGAAATTTAGAGGTACATACATCATTATCATTTTCAAGCAAATTAATTCAAATTTCAATTTTATAAAAATATTGACAGTACTTTATGGTATGAAATAAATTGTTTTTTGCGTTTCATGGTTTTTAATAAATAAATCATCGGCGATCAATTGTGGAGTCGCTGAATTTTCCGTTCGACGAATTGCTGGTCGGTGAATTAAATGTTCGGTGAATTTTTCAGTCAGTGAATGGTTGTCGGTGAATTTTTCATTGGTGAATTGCAGTCGGTGAACTTTCCTAGATCCCTATTTCATTGACCTTATGAGCAGAAGACAGCAGTATGTTAGTAACACCACAATGGTAACGTAAGTCCTGGATAAATGACGAGGAAATTTGCCTCATTTCTCAGAAATGAGGATGAACTGATTGGGTTTCTTTTAGCTTAGAGAAAATACAGTCTCTTGCTTTAATTCAAAAGTTTGTGGCTTCAACACGTTCCTCGTGGTTGATGTCAAGTTGACTGAAGTGATTTAGATACATTGAAGCGGATCGTACTGCTGGAGTAGAATCACAATCGAAACAGCTAGTTTTGCAGTTATCACAAAAGGATCAGTGAAATATCCAAAAAAAATTTTCGGAAGTGTAAAGCAGTACTATGCTATATAACACAAAATCGACAAGAACATGGCGGAACGGCTGTGTGGCAACTTCTCGGAAAATTGACCAGTGCATTTTAGAAATGACCAGTGTAAAAATTCCCGATCAAGTGATAGGAGACATCATTTGTTGCTGTTACAGTTTTATAGATGCAAAACGTTAGCATTTTATGGTGTAGTTTCCGGATGGGCAGTAGAGCGAACTGTAAAAATTTGTGGCGCAATTGTCATAATAAAGAATGTTTTTTGACGAGATGGATACTTTTTTCTGAGGTTGTTTTACGAGCGATATCATCATCAGTTGTCATATTGTATTCAGGTTGTGTGCTGTATTATACTTTCATTGAGGATTGAGAAGGATTGTAGCTGCTAGTCCTTCTGTCAGAGTTTGTCATCTGAATCTGTTATTCTTTTTTTAGAAGGAATTGGTTTTAGAGAATGAGAGACTACGTTGTTTTCTACATCGGTCCCAATTGATGTACTAACTACTCGCGATCAGTTATGATGATACCAATTGCCTTTAATGGTTTTAGGTACAGCTGACTGGAAAGCCCAATGGCGCAGAAAGGCCGTTCAAAGGTTCAGGATCTGCTGTTGATGGAGAAGGAAGTGCAAGAACTATGGGAGAAAGAACATATCTTTGAACAGGATGCAGATGATAGTAAAAGGTATTTTGAATTAAACTTCAGTGGTATGAAGTGTTTAATCTGCTTATCTTATCAGAGCAGAAAAGTATTTCGTTACATTCCCTTATCCTTACATGAATGGCTTTCTTCATCTGGGACACACGTTTTCGCTTTCGAAGTGTGAAGTAAGCACGTTATTTGTACAGCTATTTTATTTATCATTTTAATGTATCCAGTCATGCAAACTATGAACTGTAGCATTAGTCTGTCAACAGCAAACGTAAATCTACTGTAAATAAAGCAGATAATTTTCCCTTCATGTTCACGGTGAAGCCATCTGAAGGCTGACTGCCAACGGAACTCTGGTCGACCTGCAGGCAACAAATGTAGAGTCATGAGGTGAAAACAACAAGCATCGACTGTTTTTCCGGTATGCCATTGCCGAATCCAAAAAATTGTCCAAATCTTGATTTGCAAGGCCAAGAAACTCCGCCGTTGGCGGTCCAAAGCCAGGTAGAGAAAGAAGGAGATTTGAGAAAGTGGCGAAGTCTCCGTTAACGTTCGCATTCTGCCGCTCACGGTATTCATGTCATCGAAAATTATACCGGATCGGCCGTCGCTCAGGTTACCAAGAGATCGATCGGCGAATTGGTGTAGCCAGTGGCGTTCTGCGTGAACTAGCCCGACCCGTTGTGACTAAAGCAGAGCCCAGTCTGTTAACTAAGCTCTCGGTGCTCACATCGATCTTTATCTTATGCTTACCTACGGTCATGAATCGTGGTCCATCACTGAAAAGCTTAGAACCCGGGTACAAGCTGCTGAAATGGGCTTTCTTAGACGAGTCGCTGGCCTTACGCGTCTCGACA